TCCACAGCGAGACCACAGTAGTAAGACTACGTCAGAAAACTTTTGCTGTCTTTCCTTTTACTTATTAAAGATACACAAGGATTGTAGCCACAACATACTATAAACACTGTGACCCCATGTTTTCTGTATGAGCAGGGATGCTGTTCATCTTTGTGCAGAACATTTTTCATCCCAAATCTCTCATTTAAAACAGATAATCTTTATGTACTAATTTTATCAAGAGCTTTTCCCTACAGGCCTCACTCAGTGATGTGGAGACTCGTGGTTGGAGCAGCCAGGTGTTTCCTATTACACATCAAAGAACAGAGGTCCTTTATCATGAATTTAAACAGTTGAAATTATATTAGCCGGGCAGTTAACCTCCTATCGGCCTTCCTACTCACTACCACCAGCGACCCTCAGCTCCAGAGGGCTGCGCTGCTTTGGCACGACATCAAAAAGCACATTACGATGGCGGGCATATGTTCTGTGAAAACCAGTAGACCACTTGATGTTATTATTTCAGCCTTTGAAGTCATGACCTACAGGTTAGCGTGTGCTATAGATTATTCAATAAATCATGACTCTTTGGGGATTAGTGGCATTAATACGCAGGTTTGGGGTCTCGGGGTCTTCTAATTTGTTCTTGTTTCAAGGGTTCTTGCCCAGATGGTCACCACGATTAAACCATGTGCGACACAGTTCATGAACTAATCCTGGAGAGTGTGCCGAGAAATCCTGAATGGGAGGCCGAAGACAATAACCAGACGTGAGTTAGCGAACATAACAGAAAGAAAGCATGTCTCGAGACAAATTGAAACCACCTCCAGGTTGATGGGTGACTGGCTGGATGAGTTACGGTGGTCCGAGGATGATGAATGTTAATGGAAAAAGGTCAGAGACTCGTCTGGCGCAGGCGGTTGGCCGAGCACATTAGCACTGTGGGTAATAGAGTGCAGATGGAGAAGAAAACAAGCGCACGAGTGTGTCAACTGCGTATGGACGATTCATCGGGCAGTACATACCTTAACGTAGAGAGACTATTATGTGGCATTTACGATTTGTTTTGGTATTCTCCGTTTTCTTGAGAAATGGAAATCAATGCCATTAAACTTTATTTGGAAAGAAAAAGAATGTAAAGTCTTTCCAGTCTTGCATCACGTTCATGTAGGAACAAAAGTTAAAAGGGGGCAGTCTGTCAGTAAAAGGGGCAGGACAGGTTTTTTTCTTTTTGCTGAAGAGAGGGTAGTCAGATGATTTTGGAGAGTAGCAAAGATTCTTTGAATTTTTCTTACTTCACACTCAGAGTATGTGAGGTTGAACTTTTATATTCAATATGAAAAACTGAAAATGTATTTGAATGAAAATTCTTAAGGTTAAATGCTAGAGAACACGACTCAGTGTGAGAAAACTGACAAAAGGGATGTGAGGACTGCACTAAAGTGTCTGATAAACGGTGTTGTAGACCGCCTCCCCTGCTTCCTTCACTCCTTCATGATGTCCAGAATGTGAACATTGTCGTGTACTTTGTCATGAATGAGCCTTGAGTTATTGTAGTTGAGAGTAAGAATGAATACCTGAACCCTCCACCAGTCAGTTAGAACAGAGAAAGCCTCTTAGATATGAGGTGGAACATCATCAAGAACTAAAAAGAAGTTCTACCAAAGATCTAGGATGTCAAACTATCAATACTTTTTTTTTTTTTTGCTTTACGTAAACGGTCCACCCCTAACTTTCGAATAGTCCCTTACTTTAGATGTAAATGCTGGAATAGGGTGGGTTAAAATGATCAATCTCTAAAGGGAGTTGCACATATCTGCATGGAACCTGAACCTCCACCTTTGTCTTCCATTAGCAGGCATGTGTAGCGCTCAAACCTCCCAGCCAGGGAGGCGGACCAGCTGCCAGTGTAGTATGAGGTGGACGGTGAACTGGGCTACATGTGGCGAGCAGACTGTACGTATACAGGTAGCAAGAATGTGCGGAAAGCAGGTGCACGCTAAAACTGTGACCTTGATACCAAGACACCCACAACGTCAAGCAAGGAGAAAGAAAGAGACATCGAAGAAAAGTTCTGCGAAAGGAAACTGAAGCGAGGGAAAGAAAGTGGGAAATCTGCTGCGTTTGTTTCAGTGCATCTGGAAGCAGTTCTCGCTTGTTTTGAACTTTTCTTCCCCACTATCCACTTTTAACTCGCTCAGAGGCGCCCCACGGTTTCTGCAGTCTGGATTAAGTCAAAAATGTTTTGGGAGTAGATGTCGTAGATGCCACAATTTGTATAGCTTTGCATCATAGACCCGCAACACAAACACAATGAAACGTTAAGCAACTAAGGAAATCTTAACATTTAAGCAATTAATTAAAAATAATGAAATGTATTACACAGTTTATTGAAGCACGTTATAATGCTCTGGTTAAACATATCATCACTGATTTCACCATGATTTCCTCAAATGTCAGTTTACCCACAAAGCAGCATACAGAAGTGGTGCACCGCTGCCCCCTGCAGGACACAAACACAACATGAATGGATTTTGGTGGAGTTAAATTTTATTATCGCTTCATACATACCACATTTTAAATGCTGTTACACCTCTTCTAAATAATTTACTGTTTCCTAATTGTGGCTATTATAACTATATAATATGATACGTTATATTATTCTCAGTTTTAAATACAATTAGATAAAACACAGTTACATACCCGACTGCAGCGTGGCCACTATCAATGATTGCACTTCAGGGGTTACAGTGTAAGACTCACATCCCGTTCAATATTATGATTATCATCAAACAACAGTTTTTTTTGCGGTAAATTTAGTCACTGAATGACAAAAAGGGAAAAAGGCAATTGTCTGGTAAATGTGTACAAATGTGAGAACAAGGCAGCTTGTGAGCTGTGATTGGAAAAAAAGAAAAAGTTAAAAAATCCCACTTAGTGTTTCGGGATGTGACTACAAAAAGCTAGTAGTGTATCCTTAAAGCATTCAGGCCTTTGATATGAGGGTAATAATGCTATCATGTATACATCTATACGTCTGATGTATTCAGATATGAGAGATCCTGCGTGATAACTCGGCACTTAAGTGTTGCAGCAGAACGTAAATTGCATCGCTGTATGAAAGGCATCTTTCGAGGCAAATCGTAGTGAAGTTAATGGAGGATGGATGAGAGAAAGTGATGAATTATAAGAAGCAGCAGCAGCAGCTTTTTAAAGTTGAAAGCTTTGGGATAAACTTGAACTGGTGGACTACAGCCTATAACGCTCCTGCTTGCGAATGAAAGATTAATATTGTCTGTTTGAATAAATATGTGATGCTGAGCTGCACAAGTTCCATTTAAGTTCTATAAAGATGTCAAAAGGATAATAAACATTCAATGCACCTTCCACTGAGATTATGTTCTTGGCAAAAATGTGTGTTCAAAGACTATAAATGTAAGTTTACCACGTGTCAAACACTGAGCGGTATAACATTGAATTGATTTTTGGTCCGTGCTGCAAAGAGAACTGAGTGTCTCTGAGGGTGAGAAAGACAAGAAAAGGGATGAAGATGAATATAAAGATCCCCAAAGTGAATAAGTGAAACTGTAAAAGATGAGTGCAGAGGAGTGGAGTCACGTTAGGTCACGGATACGTAAGGCCAGTACAGGAGGAAGGTCTTAGTGCAGGATCGCAATGAGGAGGCGTTTGAAGTCTCCTCCACACTCAGAGTCCAGAGCGTCTTTCAGGGTTACGTCGTACTTCTCCAGGTACATGTCCTTCACCGTCTCCAGGTCGATCTGCAGGTTCATAACACAAACACTGCCGTTATGTTGAAGACTACACACTTCAAATTACATGTAAAGCTCTGTGGCTTCACTATGCTGCCTGTATAAGGACACTCTGGGTTGTATTTACCTCAGAGCGGCCCATGATGACGCGGATGAGCGTGTCCTCGTCGGTGCCCAGTCCCTTCATGGCCGCATTAAGGCGTCGGGCGAAATACAGCTGCGGGTTCTTAGCGCACCTCACTTTAAATCACACACACAGGTGTCACCAACAGACCCAACAGCACGTCGACTGACTTGTAAACGATCCTGTTCCTACTTACCCAGAGTGATGTAGCACTCCTTTAGAGTTCCTGTGGCTTCAGCGTCAATGGTGTCCAAAATGTCGGTTCCTGAAAGCTGCAAGAAACACAGGAGACCTGGTAACACAATGGACAAATGGAGCGCTTAAAATGACCAAAGAAAAGACGTGCCCAATGGGGTTTTCTTGCAGGACCGACTCCAGTACGTACCGACTCGTAGGCTTTAAAGGTGGCCTGAAGCTGCAGGTAGTTCCTGTGCGTCAGGATGAAGGTGAAGGTCGACTCGTCGGTGCCAAACCTGCCTTCTCCTGCCTGAAGAGGAAACAATACGCCAACATTTTTGAGAATCTGTAATAGTTTTAGGCATCTCTTTTTGATTTAAATGCAGTACATGGAGGTCGACATGCACCCGGTTTAGAGAAGCACACAGTAGGACCAGATCTGAAGCTAAACAGTGAACTGCTGTGATTGGAGTGCTGTTATAGTTCTCTCCCAAAAAGCCACCAGACTCTGTTGAGGAAAAGCAGTAACTTTAGTGTTGAGCTGCTGGTTTACCGCTGCCTTGGTCAGTTAGTCTGTTTGCATGATTGTGAGACTTTGTTGTTTTAACACCAATCCAAGCTAACTTGCAAAAACACCAAAGTCAAACAATGACACAAACAGAGTAACGGATCAAGGCAGCGGCGGGGCAGCGAGTTCTGCCATGTGAAATGACTTCTTGGTTTATGAAGTCTGGTGGGTTTGAGGAGAGCTTAGATCAATCTAACCACTTCAATTCCCCGTCAGAAAGGGCTGTCTGACTGGAAGACAAAGTGGCGAATCTTCCAAATATAGTATAAACCTAAACTAATATCGATTTGCCTTTTTTTTGCTGGGCCACCATCTACTGTAGGTGGTACACAGACTTTAGATAAGTACCTCATAGAACCCAACTTCAACCCAACCTGTCCCTTTAACATGCTAATGCTTACCAGGCAGGTCTTATTTAGTGTGATGACATGTTACCATTTTCTAATTACTTTAGGTTTGCAGAAGGGGTGTCCTGATCAACCAGTACTGACAATAACTGTGAAATAGTTATCCTAATAGCCTGTTACATGTTTAAAGATATTTTGCATTCTTTGTAGGATGCAGAACATCGATATGAAACAAAACTACGATTCTACCTGTTCACCTGCAGGAAGCCCCTCTACTGCCTCCCCACCCATCAGAGAATAAATAAAAGGAGGCAAAAAATATACACACAAAAGGACAAACCCACATCGTGTCATTACAGTTTAGAGCAAACAACAGAGGAGCTTCCAGGTGTGCAGGTGTAATTATTTTCTGTTGACTCGCGATCACGTGATACGTCCTTTACACAGAAAGCTCACTGTTGTCATGCTCTGATGCAGGCTCTATGTCAACAGGTTAGCCTATTGACTGTAAATAGATGTACCCAAAAGTTAAACACATGAACACACAACTAATTGTGTTATAATGAGCCACAAATGCAAAAAGAGAACAAGTTATTACACATGTTGTGTTGGTGTTGTGTCATTGCTAGTACAACAATTTCCCTGAGGTACCCTACCAAAGGGATCAATAAAGTTCTATCTAATCTAATCTAATCTAATCTAATCTAATCTAATCTAATCTAAATTTGTCCTATTAGGAGGGATACAGTGTAAGTTGTCTGATTCATGACACATTTTCTGTGAATGTCACGAATTCGTGGCGGCCGTGGCTCAGGTGGTAAAGCAGGTCGTCCACCAATCGCAAGGTTGGTGGTTCAATGCCCCGCCCCTCCACAGTTGAAGTGTCCATGGGCAAGACACTGAACCTGAAGTTGCTCCCAATGGCAGGCAGCGCCTTGCATGGCAGCTCTGTCACCATTGGTTGGATAAAAGCGTCTGTAAACTTGTTAATATTCTATAAAATCCAGCACCAGTAACTGTCGGGTTGACACTCCAACAAAGGAGCAACGAACACTACAGTTACAAACTCCCTCTCCAATGTCACGAGACAAAATACATAATAAACAAAGTTAAAGATGCATTTTACATGTAGCATTAATTTTTTTTCACATTTCTATAGATATTTTGATAACACTGACCTCATAAATTCTATGACTACTATAACTGTGTAACACAAATCTGATCCAGTTTGCAGGTTTTCCATCCAGTAGTTGTCGAGACACTTCACCAAACACCACAAATCTGAAATGTTTCCATGTGTGGATGCCGTGAGGGATTCAACAACTAACCAAACTCTCTGTGGTCGGCGTCTGTTTTGTGTTGTGTCTAAAAAACGGGAGAATTTACTTGTAGACCAAAACGCTTTGTCTGCTATTTATATCCGCAGTGTTGCTGTGAAACTTGAAGCATGAAACTTCGCGCCTTCGCTGCACATTTCCACACACATCGCACATTCCTGTACAGTAACATAAGCCAGATTAAAAACAAGCTCCGATTTGCGAACTTTCCATCTTGTCCTGGGATCTTAAACATCTAAATCTGGGATGGCATTACAAAATAAACGTCAGCGTAACCTAAACTGCAAACTATAATGTGGCCTTTAACCTCGAGGAGTTACTCAGCCCCCTTCTGAGAACGTACCTCGAACAAAGATGCAGCGTCTTGTTCGGCTAAACCCTCATCCACTTCGAAGCCTTCATCCCTGGCCGCCTGTAGGGATGTAGGAGAGATATGAGGTGGAGGAAACGGGAAGAAGGGGTTTAAAACGATGGATGAGGAGAGAGTGTGAGGGGAAAAGACTTAGCGGAAAGGTCAAGGAGCTTGGATTACAAAAATAATATCGAGCATTTAACGGGATAACAATCATCTGCTGCACATTAATGGGAAACATTTGAAGGCTGTCGAAGCTGTGGAACATGAGTCACTGTTTTTTTCTTTACTGGGGGAAGGAACAGAGAGGGGAAGCAGCAAAGGGCGTGGGCACTGAAAGAGCTGGAGATGGCACAGAGGCCAAACAATGAGACGAATGTCCCAGTAGGCGAAGTGAAGGAATTCCTCACACTTCTTTCGGCAGCTTCCTCGTGGATTCAAGAAGCTAAAAGTGACGCATCCTGGTCGGAAACGTCGCTCAGTTTCTCACCTGCAGCAGCGAGATGAGCAGGTTCCTCACATCTCCGCTGGTGTCGCCCTCGATATCTGCCTCCAGGTCGCGCTCGTGCACTGAAAAAAACAACAACAAAAAAACTCAGCTAACTATCCGAGTTCTCACAAGCTGATTTGTGTGTTGCGTCAGTGCAACAACAGATTTCATAACGGGTGAAATTTGACCTCGAGATGGATAAAGTCGGAGTATTTCTGGCGAAAACACGAGGAAAACAAAAGCTGCAACACCCCGATGATATAATAAACGAGGTTAACGAGGAGCTGCTTTGTGTGACTCAGCGGAGAAGAAGAAGAAAATAAAAAACCCACCCTGGACGTAGGCCTCCTTGTAGCTCAAGATGTCCTGTTGTGAGAACAGAGATGGATTTCAGTCAGCTGAACAACAAATCTTACTTATTCTGAAGACAATATTTTTAAAAAGCTGCTTTGAAAATGGCACGTATAAGTGAATCTTTACAGGATTGTGCTGGGGTTTTTATGACTCCAATGAAATACAGACTTCTTATGAACATTAATAAACATTTGATTGACTTTTGTTAAACTGTCAAAGCAGAGGACTGTAAATCACATAATATAAGCCTGATTTTATTGACATTTAGCAGGAGTTAGAGACATTTTTGTGGTGAGTTTATAACAAGACACAGTGTTAAAATCCAGAAACCCATTTTCTGTGCCGTCCAGCATTGATAGAGGCGTTTTAAAACCCAATTCATTTCAATGAGAATTATTTACCCCAGAATATAAGTCCAAGTCAAGTTAAATCTCACATCACAAGCTCCAGTTCTACAGCTTTCAGTCCAAGAAAGAACAAAAACAGAAGCAGCATCAGAACCACCCACTGACAGACCTCGTTAGTAGCCGTGCACAAGATCTCCGCCAGCACGGCCTCGTCGGTTCCCGCCCCCTTCATGGCCTTCCGCAGCTCCTTGGCGAAGTAAACATCAGGAGGGTCCAACATGGCCATGATGGCGTTCTCAAAGCTCCCCGTCAGCTCCTTCTTCAGGACCTCCTCCAACTCCTGAACACACACAGAGCTCACAGGATTAAAGCTCTGTCGTTTTTTTTCTCTGTGAGAGTTTGACGGAAACGGAGCGAGGCAGGAGGTACTTACGTCGTCGTACTTCTCAAAGTAGGCCTGCTTGATGTCAACACGCTGAGACGCACAACGGTCAGCCAGGATTTGGATGATGGCTTCTTCATCCGTGCCTGGAAAACATGCAGCAAACATCGACCTCTAAACGTTAGGAGTCAATAAAGTTTAGATAAGATAATATAAAATAAGATGAGATACATTAAGTTAAGCTGAGTTAAGTTAAGTTAAGCTGAGTTCAGTTAAGTTTAGATCAGATAATATAAGATAAGATTAGATAAATTAAGTTAAGCTGAGTTAAGTTTAGATAAGAAAAGCTGAGTTAAGTTAAGCTGGGTTCAGTTAAGTTTAGATAAGATATGACGATAAGATGAGATAAACTGAGTTAAGCTGAGTTAAGTTAGGTTTAGATAAGATAATACAGGATAAGGAGATTAACTGATTTAAGGTAAGTTAAGCTGAGTTCAGTTAAGTTTAGATAAAATAATATAGGATAAGAAGCCTAACTGAGTTAAGTTTAGACAAGATAATATAAGATAAGATAAGAAGATGAGCTAAATTAAGTAAAGCTGAGTTAAGTTAGGTTTAGCTGAGATAATATAGGATAACAAGATAGGCGGAGTTAAGGCAAGTTAGGTTTAGTTTAGATCAGATAAGAGAAGATAAGATAGGTTAAGTTAGGTTTTGTTTAGATAACAGAAGAGAAGAAAAAAAGTTAATATAAAACCATATAAGAAGATAAGTTAGGTTAAGTTTAGATCAGATAAGAGAAGTAATGAAGATAAGTTAAATAAAGTTAAGTTAATATGAGATGCAAAGATGAAATAAGATAAAACTAAATGTTATAAATCCAGAAGGAAATTCTTTTGCCAGATATTGCTCAGCAAACAAAATTACATGAGAGATGCAGTGCCAAGTAGAAAAGCTATAAGATATAAGTATGATAAAAACAAGGCTGTAGAATAGAAGGTAAGAAGTGATACTGGGGTAGTAAAATATTACACATGATAATGAGGTGCTGCACACACACAAATATTTACACCAAGTGAAGCCACAACATGTTTACGTGGATCTGTTGTAACTGCACCAACCAGGTGCAATTAGAGAAACAGGGGTTTCCCAAGAGGACGACAACATGTTACACAACTGCTGACAGTAACTCACAGGTACTCACCCAGACCTTTACATGCTTGTCGGATGGCTTTGATATCAGCTGTAACATCAAAGTCCTCGTACGGGACGACGGTGGGCTGGAGAACGAACAGAAGCAGCAAAATGGAACATCATCACCCAATAAGTGTGCTTTTAAACAGCCAGAAGTGAAGTGGAACAAGACTGATGTAAGCATTGTGTTGATATTTGTTTATTTTGATGGTAAAGCTACGAGTATAAGGCTGTGATGCCCAACACTTAAACAGAGTGAGGGTGAGGCTGCTGACAGGATTAGTGGTGAGACTCCAGCAGGCCACAGTCTCCTGCAGGAAAAGGGTGCAGCCCGAGTGATCGCTGAGTCATGGGCCAGCAGCAGCAGCAGCAGCAGCAGCCTCCTCTCTCCTCGCCTACCCTCCTTTAACACAATGCGTCCTTATTGATCTGATTTCTGACAAATTCCTCTTGCTGCTGCCTCCTCGGCCCGGCAGGACTCAACCCCTCTGGTCAACTGAACTGCGCCACTTCTGCTTCTCTGGACTGACTGTAGCTGCATCATCACACAAAGTCTAGTTTTCATCTAGAAACGACTGCAGCTCCAACACAAGCTGCTCTGGACACTTTCTATCAGTGACACTGAACAGAATAATTTTGAACTTGCATCAACTTTCCTCCCCCTCTACCTGCTTCTAAATGAAGTGCAGTTAGCAAGAGTTGAGCGCCTCACCTGCACGTTGCCCATGTTGTCCAGGTGTGTCCAGCTGCTGGGATGAGACGGATGCAGACAGACAGACAGGCGGTGCAGCGGATCGGACTTGGTGTGTTTCGTGTCAGCAGGACGAGCCCTGTCCGCTGCCGCAGGGGTGACGTCACCGCCGCGGCTTCATTTCATAGGACGAAGAAGCCGGAAGTGAAACTGACCAGTGAACCGTGGAGCAGCTGCTGGTCCGGTTTAGATTTGCTTACGATGAATGGAGCAGCGAGAAGGTGTGCTCACGTGTTGGACTCGCTGCAACTCCATCACATACACTGTTAAAAAAAAAA